GAAGACCTTTCTCTCTGTCTCTCTCTTACTGTCCACTCTGCCTGTCAAAAAAAAAAAATTATTTATTTATTAGAGGCCAAGTTACAGACAGAGAGAGACAAGAGACAGAAAGGTCTTCCATCACTGGTTCACTCCCCAAATGGTCACAATGGCCAGAGCTGGACTGATCTGAAACCAGGAGCCAGGAGCTTCTTGCAGGTCTCCCATGTGGGTGCGGGGCCCAAGTACTTGGGCTATCCTCCAGTGCTTTCCCAGGCCATCAGCAGGGAGCTGAATTGGAAGTGGAGCAGCCAGGACTAGAACCAGTGCCCATATAGGATGTGGATGCTACAGGCAGAGGCTTAACCTACTATGCCACTGGGCCAACCCCTTAAAACTTATTTTCTGCTTAACAGTGTTTTATAGTATTGTGACTACATAGAATGGTATGGTTGTACCATACTTGTTTCATCTTTGTTGATAGACATTAAGGCAGTGTAAGTAGTGTTATAGTGAATATTCTGGTATACAAGTAGAAGCTTCAGAACTTTCATGAGCAATGAAAAATCCAATTTCTCTTAGTTTCTTTTTTCTTTGTTTCTGAATATCCTTATAACATTTATACATTTGGGTAAGGTATGGTTAAATGATATTCTATAACTTCTTATACTATTCCCTTATTGATAGATATTCAGTTTTTCTTTGTTGTTGTGAATAACTTTGTACAAGAAATATGTAAGATTGAAAAGACTGGGGCCAGTGTTGTGGCAATGAGCAGTTAGCACCTTAGGACTCAATTGGGTCACAGGTATTCCTTGGACACAAAGGCCAGCACTTCATAGACAGTCTGAATGGGCATGCCATTGTTAAGTTGGGTTAGTGCATTTATTGCCTCCTCTGTGCCTTTTCACAGGTGTAGCTCTACCCATAGATTCAAGAAGCAAAGGCATGTCCATTTTAAAATATATATAAATTTCAAAATTCATCTTGATTATTTGATTGAAGGAAAAGTTTGAGAAAGGCATAAGGAGTAGCAGAATTGGATATCAGTTACTCATGTTTGTTTTGAAGACCAGAAGGTTTTAATTTTGAATAACCCAGTCCAAGAAATCTTAGCCTGCCCCAAGGATGTGAGGCATTTTCTTCAAAATGTTTTATAGTTACAGCTTTTACATTTAGGTCTATAGTCCATTTCAAATTTGTTTTGTGTGAATGGTATAAAGTATGAGTTGAAGTTCATATTTTTCATAAGGCTAATGGCTCCTACACCATTTTTTGAAGACTCTTTTCTCCTTTTGATTGTGTTGATGTCTTTTTAAAAGTCAGTTGACTTCATGAGTATATTATAGATTGATGTTTTGGACCATCTCTTCTATTCCATTGATAGTTATATCTGTCTCATTGGAGTGCCTGGGTTTGAGTCTAGTTTCTTTTTCTGATTCCAAGTTCCTGCTAACAGGCACCATGGGGAAGCAGCAGGTGATGGCTCAAGTATTTGGGAAACTCAGATGGATTTCTAGGCTCCTGGCATTGGTCTTGCACCAGCCCCAGCTGTTGTAGCCATCTAGGGGTGTGATGGGGGAAGAGAACTTCCCTAAATGCCTGCAAAACCTGGTGCTAGGACACACTGAAGCTAGGAGCTAAGAGCTCCATCCAGGTCTCCCGTGTAGATGGCAGAAACCCACTTGGGCCATCCTCCATTGCCTTCCCACACATATTAGCAGGAAGTGGAATCAGAAGCAAAGCTGGGACCGGCGTGGTGGCACAGGGGGTAAAGCAGCCTCCTGCAGTGCCGGCATCCCACATGGGCACTGGTTCGTGTCCTGCCTGCTCCCTTCTGATCCAGCTCTCTGCTGTGGCCTGGGAAGTCAGTAGAAGATGGCTCAGATGCTTGGACCCCTGCACCCACATGAGAGACCAGAAGAAGCTCCTGGCTCCTGGCTTAGGATCGGCTCAGCACCAGCCATTGGTGCCATTTGGGGAATGAACCAGTGATGGAAGACCTTTTTCTCTGTCTCTCCCTCTCTGTAACTCTACCTCTCAAATAAATAAATAAAATCTTAAAAAAAAAAACCCACATGGAATATTAATAAAACCAGAAAGCCAATCCATTTCATATCAACAGTGTTAATTTAATTGGGAATATGTTAAATACAACTAAATTGCCAGTGTGTTGGGTTGATAGTAGACAGTCCTCTGTTTCCCCTACCTCTGTTCACTTGAGCCTGCTTACCGATTGGCATTAATAATGGTAGGCTGCTTGGATGATTTGGTAACATTCAACCCTAACATTTAAGCCTAGACTGTCAGTGAGTAATTCTCAAGTATTTATTTTAGTAAAGCAGTACTTGATACCTGGAAAGCAGCCTTGTTTGATAAGAGTGGAATGATGATGATACTGAAATTTGTGTAAAATGGCTATTAAACCCACTTATTGTGGGAATTAGAAATTTGGCACATTAAAGGCCTGGAACATGGTGGGCCCAGTTTGTTGTTGTTGTTGTTGTTGTTTTTTTTTTTTTTTTTTTTTGCCTGTTGCCATCATAGGCAGTGCATGGCCTTTGGGCCACCTGCCTCATGCTTTATGACCTACATGCTCCTCCACATGGCTGGCTCCTGGTACTCGGTATGAATCCAGATTTCTCTCTCTTTTAGATAGGGCCCTCACTCTCCTATGGATTTCTCTCACTGAATAAAAAGCTTAAAACTTTGGGGCCAGCGCTGTGGCGCAGCGGGTTAACACCCTGGCCTGAAGCACTGGCATTCCATATGGGCGCCGGTTCTAGTCCAGGCTGCTCTACTTCCAGTCCAGCTCTCTGCTATGGCCTTGGATAGCAGTGGAAAATGGCCTAAGTCCTTGGGTCCCTGCACCCATGTGAGAGACCCGAAGGAAGCTCTTGGCTCCTGCCTTTGGATCGGCGTAGCTCCGGCCGTTGCGGCCATCTGGGGAGTGAACCTGCAGATGGAAGACCTCTCTGTCTCTACTTCTCTCTGTAACTCTTTCAAATAAATAAACTAAATCTTTAAAAAAAAAAAAAAAGCTTAAAACTTAAAAAAAAAATTGGCACAAGCAGAGATAGACTTTGCTTGAGTCACATGGATACCTTCTATATGATCCCAATTGCTAAGGTGCAAACTTTTTAGTTTAACTTCTTTCACAACAGTACATTTTGAGCTTATCCATTATATTGTGTGTATTAGCAGTTCATTCCTGTTATTGCTTAGTAATATTCTATAGTTTGTATATACCACAGTTTGTTTATTAATTTGCCATTTGAAAGTTAGTTGGTTTGTCTCTGGTTTTTGGTAATTATAAATAAAGCCACTATACCATTTGTGTCTACATTTTGGTATGAACATGAGTTTTCATTACTTGGATAATTCCTAGTAGTTTGATTGCTGGGTCATATGGTAAGTGTTATGTTTTGCTTTCTAAGAAATGGTCACTCTTGTAAAGTGGCTTTATCATTTTGAATTTTTTTTAAAGATTTATTTATTTATTTGAAAGGCAGAGTTACAGAGAGAGAGAGTGAAGAAGAGACAGAGATAGCTTCTATCCACTTATTCACTCTTCAAATGACTGCAACAGCAGAAGCTGGGCTGATCTGGAGCCAGGAGCTTTGTCAGGTCTCCTACATGAGTGCAGGGGTCTAAGCACTTGGGCCATCTTCTGCTGCTTTCCCAGGCACATCAGCAAGGAGCTGGATCAGAAGTGGAGCAGCCAGGGCTCTAACACATATGGGATGTAAGCACCGCTGGCAGCAACAGCTTTACCTGCTACGTGTGACAGTGCTGGCCCCACCATTTTGAATTTCTGCTAGCAGTTTCATTTTTCGGCATTTTCTGCATTCTTATTGGCACTTTTCTTTAAGAGACAGCATGTGTGTTCCCACATGGGTGGTGGAAATCAGTTACTTGAGTCATCACTGCTGCAGCCCAAGATCCACATTAGCCAGAAGTTGGAGTCAGGAACGAGAGACAGAACTTTTAACTCAGGCACTCTGATATGGGATATGGGCATCTTAACCGCTAGGCCAAATGCTTACCCATTGTTGGCATTCGAGATTGCTTTTTTTTTTTTAAAAAGCTGCTTGTGCTGAGATATCTCATTGTCATCTCTCTCTCTCTCTCCCTCTCCTTTTTTTTTTTTTTTTTTTTTTTTTTGACAGGCAGAGTTGGACAGTGAGAGAGAGAGAGACAGAGAGAAAGGTCTTCCTTTCCATTGGTTCACCCCCAAATGGCCACTACGGCCGGTGCACTGCGCCAATCCTAAGCCAGAAGCCAGGTGCTTCTTCCTGGTCTCCCATGCGGGTGCAGGGCTCAAGCACTTGGGCCATCCTCCACTGCCTTCCTGGGCCACAGCAGAGAGCTGGACTGGAAGAGGAACAACCGGGACAGAATCCAGCGCCCCAACCGGGACTAGAACCTGGGCTGTCGGTGCCGCAGGCTGGGAATTAGCCAAGTGAGCCGCGGCGCCGGCCTCTCATTGTCATTTCAACTTAAATTCCCCTTGATGACTAATGATGTTGAACATGTTTTCTTGTGAAAGGAAGCCGTCTATAACCGTTTCTTTTGAAGAACAGAAGATCTTGCTTTCGATGAGGTCCATGTTACCCATTTTTGTGTATGTGTTCACACAAAAAAGATATAATAATTTTGGTGTCTTGTTAAACACTATGGCTCGTTAAAACAATTAAACTAAACTTTGAGGGAATGCTTTGTATAGCCTATGACTGATTGTAGAATCACCTTCACACAGCAAGAATTGGTCATTATGGAATGGAAGGGTAATTTTCATTTCCTAGGGACAACTGCACTTATTTTTTCCCATTTTTCTGTGATATGTAGGCAGTGACTTACTTGTGTGTAAATACCCTCTTTGATTTTGTATTAGTAAAAGATAAAATATATTGTCATCACTTTGAAAATACAGAATTATGCTATTGCTTGTTCCCCTAGATCTTAAGAAGAAACTTGTAAGAAAGTCTAATCTTTATCTTCTTTTTTTTTTTTTTTTCCAGTGGTGGGATCAGCAAATTGATTTTCATCATGCTTTCTTGCAACATTTGGCACAACTGGTGCCAGAAATTTATTTTGCTGAAATGGACCCAGACTTGGAAAAGCAGGAGGAGAGTGTACAGATGTCAATATTCACTCCACTGGAATGGTACTTATTTGGAGAAGATCCAGATATTTGCTTAGAGAAATTGAAACACAGTGGAGCATTTCAGCTCTGTGGGAAGGTTTTCAAAAGTGGAGAGACAACATATTCTTGTAGGTAAGAATTAGAAATCTGCAGGGTTGATTATAATGGAAGTCTTGTTATTTTGTACCTGTTTCATGATCTTCTTGCCTTGGTTTATTACTATTTATAATATATTAAATCCCATTTAATTAAATTTCTTTTATTATATACTTTTAAGTCTGTTTTTGCTAGTACAGCTTGTTTTTGAATATGTGACTTCTAGTTAAACAATTCTTTCACTTTTGCTTGCTGTTTTCCAAATATCTGAATGATAGATTTTTGCTTTGTTTACAATGTAGTCAGCAAACTCTTATCTGAAACCCTGGGGCCAGGTGTATTTCAGAATTCTGAGTACTTGACCAGGAGAGTCAGGGTAGGATCCTGTAATCAAACAAAGTAGGGCTGGCACCGTGGCTCACTAGGCTAATCCTCCGCCTTGCGGCGCCGGTACACCGGGTTCTAGTCCCGGTCGGGGCGCTGGATTCTGTCCCGGTTGCCCCTCTTCCAGGCCAGCTCTCCGCTGTGGCCCGGGAAGGCAGTGGAGGATGGCCCAAGTGCTTGGGCCCTGCACCCACATGGGAGACCAGGAGAAGCACCTGGCTCCTGCCATCAGATCAGCGCGGTGCACCGGCTGCAGCACACCTGCCGGCGGTGGCCGTTGGAGGGTGAACCAACGGCAAAGGAAGACCTTTCTCTGTCTCTCTCTCTCACTGTCCACTCTGCCTGTCAAAAAATAAATAAATAAAATAAAAAAAACACACACAAACATAGTAAGATTTCTGTAAGAAATCTATGCATATTCTTAGCAAGTGGAATAAAGTCTATAGTCTTGTGTCCTTTTGGGTTATTTTGTATCATCAAGTGGGATTTGAAGCTAAGCCTACAAACAATCAAAACCATTTAGTTTTAGGACTTTTTGGATTTCAGAATTGTGAGTAAGGAAGGGACTATAGACCTGAAGGAACAGTCAGTTTAGTTGAATAGAAGGAAACTAGTTGTAAGGAAATTAGAAGCAGTTTGAGACTTCTTGTTCTCTGTAAGAATAGTTCCTTTTAAACATCATGTTGGCACAGAGAACTTCTTTAATCCTGACACTGCCTGAAATTTTCATCTTTTAGATCTCAGTAGTTTTCATTTTCTTTCTTTATTAAATGTAGTTTAGGTTAAGAGTGAATTTTTAGACTTCATAAATAGACTTTATAAATACAGAAAATTGCTTTTGTTTCACTATAATTCTGGGCTACACTAGTTTATGAATAATCATTGCTGATCATACTATTTCTCCTATACTTTTCTCAGGATAAAAAATTACTCTCGTGTTTTATGTACTATTTTGTTTTATGGCATAGTAAGGTTTGTTTACCATCTCATGTATTTTCACCTAAAGTCTAGTCAGTTTCATCTAAAGCATAGTAGACACTTGTAGACCTCATGTCTCAGAGTTTCTTGGAGACATTTTTAATTGTTACAGCTGGGGGTTGGTACTGGCAACCAGTAGGTAGAAGACAAGCTTGCTGCTAAATATCCTGCAATACACAGGGCAGTTCCCTGCATCCCCAACAAATAATCAACTGGTTCAAAATGTCAGTAGTATTGAGCTTTAGAAATCTTGCTCTAAATAGGTCAAAAGATCATATGTATTTTAGAGAATATTATTAGCCAACTTTTATTACCTATTAGCTTTTTAAAAAAAAATTTTTTTTTTTTTTTGACAGGCAGAGTGGATAGTGAGAGAGAGAGACAGACAGAAAGGTCTTCCTTTTGCCATTGGTTCACCCTCCAATGGCTGCCACGGCTGGTGCGCTGTGGCTGGCGCACCGCGCTGATCCGAAGGCAGGAGCCAGGTGCTTCTCCTGGTCTCTCATGTGGGTGCAGGGCCCAAGGACTTGGGCCATCCTCCACTGCCTTCCTGGGCCACAGCAGAGAGCTGGCCTGGAAGAGGGGCAACCGGGAAAGAATCTGGCGCCCCGACCAGGACTAGAACCTGGTGTGCCAGTGCCACTAGGTGGAGGATTAGCCTATTGAGCCGCAGCGCCAGCCTTAAAATTTTTTTAAAAGACTTATTTATTTGAAAATCAGAGTTAGAGTCAGAGAGAGAGAAGTCTTTCATCTTCTGGTTCTCTCCCCAGGTGGCCACAATAGCCAGAAATTGAATTGGTACCCATATGGGATGCTGGTGTTGTAGGCAGCAGCTTTACCCACTGTAACACAACAGCCGCCCCCAGTGTTTCTTTTTCTTCCTTTTTTTTTTTTTTAAGGTTTATTTATTTATTTGAGAGACAGATTTACAGACAGAGAGAGGAAAAGACAGAGAGAGGTCCTCCATCAGCTGGTTTACTCCTCAAATGGCCTCAACAACCAGAGCTGCGCTGATCCGAAGCCAGGAGCCAGGAGCTTCTTACAGGTCTCCCGTGTGGGTGCTGGGGCCCAAGCACTTGGACTATCTTCCACTGCTTTTCCAGACCATCAGCAAGGAGCTAGACTGGAAGTGGAACAGTTGGGACTTGAACCAGTGCCCATAAGGGATGCTGGCACCACAGGCAGATGATAAACCTGCACCACAGCGCCAGCTGCCGAAATTTATTTATTTGATTTTTTTATTTTTTTGACAGGTAGAGTTATAGACAGTGAGAGAGAGACAGAGAGAAAGGTCTTCCTTTTCCATTGGTTCACTCACCAAATGGCCACTGCAGCCGGCGCTGTGTTGATCTGAAGCAGGAGCCAGGTGCCTCTTCCTGGTCTCCCATGCAGGTTCAGGGGCCCAAGCACTTGGATCTTCCTCCACTGCACTCCTGGGCCACAGCAGAGAGCTGGACTGGAAGAGGAACAACTGGGACTAGAACCTGGCACCCATATGGGATGCTGGCGCCACAGGCAGAGGATTAATCAAGTGCGCCATAGCACCAGCCCCCCCTCCAAATTTATTTCTAAAATTTATCAATTTCATCTGCTCAACTCTGCAAAATAAAATATCTGAAAAATTAATCCTGTAATTTGCACTAATTTCTACTGTTCTTAATGTTTCCCTGAAGACATTAAACAATATAATTGAAAAATTGCTGTTAGGGGAAAGAGTAAGAGAGATTGAATTGGTTTCTATTCCTTAAATATTGAGTACCTACTATGTGTCAGACACTGTTCTAGGTGTTTGGGACTCCAGTGAATTTTGTCTTTATTCAAGAAACACTTGACAGTGAGTAATCAGTGTTAATAAAATATATCTTAAATGACAGTATGAGATTATAAAATAATGAAAAACTCACCCTTTCCATAAAACTAATTTTGAACTGTAATTTAACAGTTTGAAACCATGTGAAGGTTTAAAGTTATGATGACATCAGATATAAAATCAGACATCCAAACTTGCACACTGAATTGTAGTTAAAATGAAGATGAACATATGCTTGATAGTGTTGTTTTTTTCAAAACATTTTTAGAATTCTATTTTTGTAGTATCTTCATATTCAGTTTGTGTGCCGCACAGGAAACTCATCTACTTCATATTATTGTCATACCTTAAGTATCAGAGGAGCCTTCTAAATTTCAAATGTAATTTTCAATCTTTTTCAGAGACTGTGCAATTGATCCAACATGTGTACTCTGTATGGACTGCTTCCAGAATAGTGTTCATAAAAATCATCGTTACAAGGTATGCAAATAAATCCATTAGCAAAAGTCTGATGACCATGTAGTCCAAATTCTTGACTAGTATTTGAGTTCCTGCTTTAATAGCTTTGATATGTGGACTTTTTAGCCTCTATTTAAGCATATCAGGTGATAGGACATTATTATATTTAGAGATACTCCTTACAAGTTTATGGTGAGATACATTATTTTTAAATAAAAGATTGTATAATAACTGTAAATCAAACACTTGTATAATAGCTACTGAAGTGGAGAAATAGGGCATTGCCAGATCTCTTCCAGCCCCACCTTGTATCCCTTCTAGATTGCAATTGTAACATCTCTTCTGTGTTTCTGATAATGATTTATTTGATTTTCCCCCCATTTAGCTTATAACCCAAGTCATATTAAATAATTTTTATCTGCTTTGGAACTTATATATGGATGGAGTGCTTTGGTTTTACAGTGTAAATGTAAAATGTTTTTTGTTGTTTAATAGCAATATGTTTGTAGCATTAGTTTATCTGTTAGCCTTAATAGTTTTCAATAACCATGTTATCTTTATTCATTCTCCTGTAAATGGATATGTAAGATTGTTTCTAATTCGACTATAAACATTTTTGTTCATGTGTTTTGTTATACATGTATAGGAGTTTGTATTGGATATATATCTGAAATAGAATTGCTAAGTTCCAGGGTATATTGATAATATACTTGATAATGTCTGACTGTTTTCTAAAGTGATTATAGTGATTTGTAGGCTCTCCAGCTAAATATGAGAGTTCTCATTGCTCTGTATTCCTGCAACATTTGTTGTTGTAAGTCTTTAAATTTAGCAAATCTATTCAGTATATAATAGTATGACATTGTGGTCTTGATTATATTTTTCTAATTAGTGATGGGACTGAGAACTTTTTCCTTTCCTGTTATATTTTTAGATAACCTTGTTATTTTGAGCTTAGATATGTTTCTCAAATAGTAGTGCTGGTTCTGTACTTTGGAGCTTAAACAGATGTAGTTGATGTTTTTCTTTGTATGCACAAGTTTAAGATACCTCAAATCTTGTGTAAATGGAATTAACATCTTAACATTGTCTAGACAATATCTTCCATAAAGTTGAAAATGGCTTTAGTAGTTTTGGACTGGTCTCAATTTTGCTGTATGGGCTATAAGAACAGGTTGCAGATATTATAGTGCACTAGAGAAAAACAGATTGGGAGCTCAGGGTATAGTGAGATTAAAATGTCTTCCCAAGATTGCAAAGCTAATTATTAGTAGAATTTACAGAGTTTATCATTAGTTATGTTCTATATTTCTTGATCATCTCCATGAGTTATAATTTTCTTGTTCTGTCTCCAGAAATAATGCCAGAAGTAGAGATGAAGAGAAGGTTTTTAATTTCTTCTGATTCCTATTTTGGGAGACTAAAGAGAAAAAATGCTGAATGCCCACCACAAGAGTTTGAGTTCCTCAGATTTAAAGACTCCTAAACCTCTGTTTTCCAAGCTTTGGGATTTTTGTGGGTCAGTTTCAGAAAACTCTAAGCAAGACTTAGGGGACTTTGAGCTTTTATTTGGCCAAAGAAGTTGAATTTTAATTTAAAAAGTGAGGGGAGAAGGGAGGAAAATGAACAGCAGTTTAAAAAAACCATACCATCTCATATCATTTAATAAAGGAAAACACATTTTAATCTCAAGAAAGTAGGATAACCTCAGAATAAAGAGTAGCCCTTTTAATTGAATGCATGTAACACTATAAAAGAGCTTACCATATTGTCCCTTTTTTTCTTCTGATTTCTCTATGGACTAATTAAAACTTGTCTGTTAATTTTTAGGAACCTCTTCATTAGCTGCCTTCATTTATTTATAATTTGCCAATCTACATCTCTACCACTAAGCAGCCTTTTGTGGAACATTCTTAGATTTGCTGTCTTTAGATTTCTGCAGAGTTGTCGTTGTTATTTATACAGCCTGTGTAAATCACATTGGAAAGATGAGCTATAGTGTGATTAATAAAAAAAAAATTGCTCATCAATAAGTTGATAGAAGCTTTCCAGAATATGAGTGTATATGGTGAGACTTTGGAGAAAAATGAAGGAATGACTAATAAATATGTAGTTACTTCTAAGGCAATGTGTGGGACTCTGGATGGTCATATTAGTATAGGGAGCTTCAGCAGAGTTGATAATTTTCTTAGGTTGGCTACTGGATTCATGGGTATTTATTTCATTGCTATACTTTGTTTTTTTTTTTTATTTTTTATTTTTATTTTTATTTTTTGACAGGCAGAGTGGACAGTGAGAGAGAGAGACAGAGAGAAAGGTCTTCCTTTGCCATTGGTTCACCCTCCAATGGCCACTGCGGCCAGCGCGCTGTGGCCAGTGTACCGCACTGATCCAATGGCAGGAGCCAGGTACTTATCCTGGTCTCCCATGGGGTGCAGGGCCCAAGCACTTGGGCCATCCTCCACTGCACTTCCCGGGCCACAGCAGAGAGCTGGCCTGGAAGAGGGGCAACTGGGACAGAATCCGGCGGCCCGACTGGGACTGGAACCTGGTGTGCCGGCGCCGCAAGGCGGAGGATTAGCCTAGTGAACTGCGGCGCCGGCTCATTGCTATACTTTGTAACTTACCTCTATATTGTATATATTAATTTGTGTAATAAAACACTTCCTAAAAGAAAAAAAATGAAGCTATTAATAAAAAGAATTGAAAGAGATAAAGTATATGTGTTGCTTCAGAGAAAGGGGGGATGGCATTCAGAGATTAAAGATTGGATATTCTGTGAACAAAGAACCAAGGAAAACCGTTAGTGGCAAAATGATCCAAATCAACTTTTTTTTTTTTTTAATATTTATTGATTTGAAAGACAGAGTTAGGGAGAGTGAGAAGGAGAGACAGACACAGAGAGAGAGATCTTCCATCTGCTGGTTTACTCCCAAAATGGCCCCAAAGACCAGGGTTGGGCCAGGCTGCAACCAGGAGCTTCATTCAGGTCTCCCATGTGAGTGCATGAGCCCAAGCACTTGGGCCTTCCTCCACTGCTCTCTTAGGAACATTAGCAGGGACCTGGATCGGAAGTGAAGCAACCAGGACATGAACTGGGGCCCATATCGGATGTAGGCATTGTAGGCAGCAGCTTAACCTCGTACGCTAAGCATTGGCCCTCCAAATCAACTTCTGAGAACAAGATAACAATAAAAATTTGAGCTCTTTGCTCTACAGTGTGTAATGTGACCCTGTTCTGTAATCCAGCTTTCTGATAGTTTAGCCCTTCAAAAAACTTACAGTATATACCTCTGCATTTTCCTCCTCAAAAATAAGTTAAAAACACATACCCAGTGTGGATAGTTAACCTAGCAGTCAAGACACCATTTGAGATGTGCTTTGGAGTGCCTGGGTTTGATACCCACCTCTGATTCATGACTCCAATTTCCTGCTCACCCAGACCCTGGGAGGCAGTGTTGATGGCTCAAGGATCTAGGTTCCTGCCACCTGTATGGGAGATTTGGATTGAATGCCTGGTTCCTGGCTTTGCAGACATTTGGGGAGTGAACTGGTAGATGGGAGTGCTCTCTCTCTCTCTCTGCTTCTCAAGTAAACAAATTTAAAAAACAAAAACAGCAAAATTCTGAACCTACTCTTAAAGATTATTTTCAGTGTGGATAAATGCCCTTTATATTGTTTAATGAGAAAAGCAGATTACAAAAAGAATACGTTCTTAAAACAATCGCTTCTATTCAGAAAAAATAGCAAGTTTAAAATGAAATTTCAGTTATAAAAGAAAGATGAAAGTTATACTTTAAATGGAAAAGCAAAATGTTTAAAATTATGCAGTTTTTGGTGTTTCTTTTAGAATATGTGTATATTTATTTAACTATAATTTATTTTAACATTTACCTATTGGTAGATTTATATGGGTTTCTGTTTTCTAAAAATGATAAAGTGTTGCAGCAAACATCATTATAGGTAAATCATTTTTTCCGTATCTAGGATTTTTTGTGAAGATAGATTCTCAAATAGAATTATTAGATTAAAAATACAGATATTTAAGAGAATAAAAAGCTGTAGATTGAGCAAAAATCTTTGCAAAACATACATCTGGTAAAGGACTGGTTTCCAAAATCTATACAGAACTCTTAAAACTCAAGGATAAGAAAGCAGAAAACTGAGTTTAAAAAATGGGCACGAGACCTGAAAAGATACTTCACAAATAATATATAAAAATGGTCAGTGGGCACACACAAAGATGCTCAGCACCTTATGTCCTTAGGGAACTGCTAATTAAAGCAACAGTGAAGTATCACTACCAACCTATGAGAATGGCAGAATTCCAAATCTCCAGCAGCATAAATTCTGGTGAGCGTGTAGAGCTACAGGAACTCTTATTCTTTGCTAATGGGAATGCAAAGTGGTACAGCTACTTTGGGAAGATTGGCAGTTTCCTACAGAATTAAACATACTTTTACTGTACAAGCCAGTAATAACACTCCTAGGTATTAATACTAATAAATTGAAAACTTAAGTTCATGCAAAAGAGCTACACATGAATGTTTATAACAGCTCTTCATATTTGCCAAAACTTGGAAGCAACCAAGGTTTCCTTCAGTAGGTGACTAAACTTGTACATAATACTTAGTACTGAAAAGAAATACACTATCAAGTGATTAAAAAAAAAAAAACAACCACCTGACAGAACCTTAAATACTTGTTGATAAGTGAAGTCCTTCTAAAACAACATTTTGGAGAAGGCAGAACTATGGAGACAGTGAAAAGATCATAAGTGGCCAGTAATGTGGTGTACTAGGTTAAGCCTCTACCTGCAGTGCCAGCATCCTCTGTGGGCACTGGTTCGAGTCCTGGCTATTCCATTTCCCATCCAGCTCCCTGCTAATGTACCTGGGAAGACAGCGGAAATGGCCCAAGTGATTGGGCCCCTGCACCCACTTGAGAGACACAGATGATGCTCCTGTTTCCTGGCTTTGGATTGGCCCAGCTGGCCATTGTGGCCATCTGGGGAGTGAATC